GATTCCCTCTCACGTTTCCTCTTGTTGTGTCTGTTTACAGTCGTTCAAGGACACGCTGTACTTCTCATCATTTCTTTGAAAACAGAACTAAAAAAAAATTAAATTATCGTTAAACAAAAACAACAACAATAATGATAATAATAATAATGTTTTGTCAACAGAGAACCTCTCACTCTGTTTACATGTTTTTTCTTCCTGCAGGATTCCTGTTGGCAACAGCGGCGAGTCGCATATTCACCTCCTTCACCGCTAGAGGGCGGTAATGGAATATATATATATATATCAGTTTGGGTGAAACCTAAAAGAAGACAAAGAGTCGCGGCTGTGTGGATCAGTGTTACTTCAGCAGAGACTGATATCAGTGAGTATTGAACCGTATATTCATTTAAATATATAAAATAAGCAGTTTTTTGGTCGAGGCGGTCGAACAGATGTAGTTGTTATGTTTGGAGACTTCTCACTTTGACACCTGTTAGTTGAAGGTGTACAGCCCCACAGGACAACGGACCTCTGCGCTGTTTTATCAGTCATCAGTTCAGACTCAGAGTTTTGATTTTCCTTTTGACTAATGCGCATTAACTCGCGGTGATTAATGTCTGACGTCAGCACTGATCGTTTTCCATTCACAAAAGTGACTGCACTAAAGAGCTGTGCTTCAGAAATACCCTGCACAGGCCACTAAATCAAATCACCCCATGAATTATGAAAGACAGTGGGGGGGAGGGGGGCAGGGGGGTAAAATGAACTGAACGAGTATGGATTCAAATCAGTCAGCGTTGAACCGAATCACACCCTCAAGGTTTATTGTAAAACAATTAAAGAAACAAATTAAAAACAAACAAAACAAATAAAATCACATCAATGTGGGGGGAGGTGAAAATAACAGAAACTATAATTGCCGTTGATTCATTTACTTTTAGACGTTTATTTTGATTTGCAGTCCCACAAATGGACACTAGATGGTGCTGTTTACCACAGTGGTGGGAGTTGACGTTATCTAAACTTAGGTCCTCAGTTGGTTAATTGTAATTCTTCCTTCAATTTTAGTCCGTATCATTATTCTTATCACCTCCATCTTCATCATCATCTTCTTCTTCATCTTCTTCATCTTCTTCATCACCCTCCCCCGTGTCAGGGACCCACAATCCAGAGTCGATGCACCTCTTCAGATGGTATTTAGCTTCCTGTCAGGAGAAATAATATTCACATTAATAAATTTTCATCATCATCTTCTTCTAATAAACTTTATACCAGTCTTTTTTTTTTGTTTTGTTTTGTTTCATTTTTTCTCATTTTTATTTTTACCAGTGGTGTCCAGTGGGGGTTTCAAACCGACTCACCTCAGGTTCCAGTTTGTTCATCACCTCCTGCAGCATCTGGAGGTTCTTTTCAGCGAAGCTCTTCTGTAGTTCCTGTTGAGGACGGAACATTTACAATCGATCTACTGACACGAGACGATGAAGGAAAGAAACTTTGACAAACATTTAGTTCATCTTCATCTCAAAAAGGAAGAAAGGATTTTTTTAAAAACAAGATTTCAAATGAGATTTCCTGCACGGACAGGTGTGTTAGGCTGTAACTGTGGTCAGGTGGTATTTCAACTACATTGACCTTTTGTTGTGACCCTGACCTTTGACTTTTCACTGATATTTACGAAAGAATCTGTTGATGTGAAGTACTGTATGATAATGTGTACTGTGTACTTTATACTAATCTGTGTTCACCTTTGGCAGTGACTGATAGACCTCCACAGGGTCTAAACCACTTGGGCCCAGTTTCCTCTGCCTCTGCTGCTGCTCCTCCTCCTGCTGCTCCTCCTCCTCCTCCTCCTCCTGATCTTCAGTGACTCCCTCCGTACGGATCAGTGCACAGCTGTGAATCCTCTCCTTCAGTAACTCCAGTTCATGGTCAAACGCATCCAGGTACGGTTTGTCTGCAGTCTGACGTGAAACAGTCTTTAAGTCGTGAGCTGTTGTTGTTGTTGCATTACATTTGTTAGCATATTTTGAGCAGGTTATTATTCTAATGTACAGTACACCTTCAAACAGTCGCCTAAAACTAAAGTTTTCTCTGTAGGACCAAATTATTTTGTTTTTGTTTTTTTTCCTGACAGTACCACTGTTCTCCTGTAGGAGTCACACGCTGTTGCACTTCACCCTAAATACAGATCTAGAGCAGGATTTGGTAGATTTTCCAAACCTTGATTTTTGAGAAGAACCGTCTGAAACAGCCTCTGGGGTCGACCCTCAGGGTCCGGCTCAGATCCAGGATGAAGTGCATGACGAGGGCCTGGTGGGCCACCTGCTCCATCAGGCCGTGTTTCTGTCAGGGCAGAGGATTCTAGAAGGTCTCCACCGCGTCCAGTACAACTACGTCGTCACGCAGATTACGTACCTGATCGATCTCCAGGTCGATGCAGGTGGAGACGAGGCCGTGGGCGGTCTCCTCACACACCAGCTGTGGGTTATCAGACAGATACTTCTGACTGTCGTCCCAACGACGCAGCATACCTGTGTCCGAAGAAAAAAACAATAAAAATGAACATAATATTAACCAAAAAACTGAGACAAACGTTTAAATGAGCAACATTTATGACAGTAATAGATTGTAACCCGGTCATCGTGAAAGAATCCACCCCGACGTTAGTCCACTGAGGTCACGACCTGACACTGTTTGAGTTCATATGAGTTCATATTTACCCGCAAACTTCCCCACAGTTTCACTTCCCTACCCATGTTGAATTGTCCTGAACCACCAGCTAAAAAACACAAATATAAACATATATAAACACATATAAACATATGTAAATATATGTAAACATATATAAACATGTAAACATATAAATATATGTAAACATGGAATGGATCACCAACTGTAGTTTTTATATTTTTTTTTTTTTTTAATGTTTTTTCAGAGTTCTGTGTGTAGTGACAGTCAGACCCTTGTGTCCTGTAACTCTCGTGCTCTCTGTCACTGCTTCCTGTTTACAGAGGTGTTTCTTCACACTTGTGTTGAGAGCTGATCGTCACCGTCAGCTCCACTGACACTTCCGCCTCGTTGGAACTTAATGTTTCCACCGTGTCGGGCAGCTGAAGGTGACTTTGCTCTTCCAGCAGCTGACCTTTTAAAACAATGCTGCCAGCGCGGCCCGTGAGCTCACATCCTCCTCTCTTTACTCTTTTGGACATGTGAAAACTCAAATCATTTATTTTTTAGTTCCCCGTCATGTTTTTTTTTTTTTTCCATTAGATGATTTTGCTCTTTTCTGTCTTTCACATTTTAAACCAAATCAAAACAGACAAATTTATTACCCCTCCAAAAATCCCCTTAAATCCAGGATCGTGGATCGTCTCCAAAGAAGTTAATAAACATCAGTTTGATGACGTCGCTGCACTAAACACCTTCGTCTACGGATCTATATCTATATATCTATATATCTATATCTATATCTGGTTTGGCATTTAAACAAATTCTTTTACAGGAGAAGAAAACAAAAAACAATGTATATATATATGTATGTATATATCAGTGTTTTTAGTTATATATACATATGTATATATGTGTCTATGTGTATGAATATATACTATATATGTGGGTATATGTGCATATATATGTATAAACAAATATGTGTATATATGTGAAAATATATGTACTGTACATATATATGTATATACACGTATATATGTGAAAATATATGTAGTGTACATATATATGTATATACACGTATATATGTGAAAATATATGTGCATACATACATAAATAGTAAATCGTACCAAAGTGTTTGATTTCCTTTCCGTGCGTCTCCAAAAATGTCCTTCGTTTCTCTGCATCTTCTTCTTCCTCCTCTGTTTCGGCCTCGATGTTGAACACACTCTGGAAACCACAGTGAAGATCAGAGCTCAGCTCAGTGCTGACATGATTTGCCCAAAGGTTCACAGCCCCGTGCGGTACTTGCCCTGCTGAAACCTTCCTTGCTGATCGTGTCCACATTCCAGGGAATCTTCTTCTCTTCCCTCCGGTGCTCCGTCATCAATTTCTCAAAAACCTTCTCTTCCTTTTCCAGTTTCCTCACTTCAGCCTGGACTGTCCTCAGCTCGGCCTCCGTGTCCTTGTCCTCCGGGCTTCCCTCCTTCCTCTCTTGTCCCAGCTCTCTCAGCCGTAGCTGGGCGTCCTCCAGACGCTGCCTGCACTGAGCACAGTTTTTCTCCAAATCTTCTCGTCTCTGCTGGACGTCTGCCGTCCTCTCCAGCCGAGCCTGTGGCGACAGACGACACAAACAGAACGTCGTTGGTCGAAGGAAGAATTGGAAAATAAATTAGAGGTAGAACGGATAGTGAAGGAGAGCGATGTTTCGGAAAGAATACGAGAAGAAAGGACAAAGTTAGGACAGTGTCTGCAGTGCTTTTTTTTTTTTTGTTCTTATTTTTGTCTAAACTGCAGTGCTTTTTTTTTTTTTGTTCTTATTTTTGTCTAATTAACAGAGCGATGATACGATATATTGCGATGCTAAAGGCACAACGAGATTTCCAAGGAAAACTGTGGGCGTCGTAAACACACGATGTTGTTCCGTGGCCTGGGAATGAGCAGGTCACACAGAGAAACTGACTCAAGTGTCCAAACATGGAGGAGTGTCGTTCTGGTCTTCGTCAGGTGGACAGCAGCACCGATATCAGCTCCCTCTTATCAGACTTCCCCACATTCCTAAACGCTCTTCTTACACACAACAATCCCAGGAATCCCAGGACTAAATCGAAGCTAATCCACGTGACTGGTGGACACTAACGAGTTAAGATGATTACCCAGATGACCAGAGCTTGACCGGTGAAGAGAAACATGGTTACGTCACATGACACACATTCATGAGCCTCAAGTCAAACATTTCTGTTTTTAAAAATTAAATAATTACAAATTCATAATAATGTTATTAAAACCTGGATTGCAGCGTATCAGTGTATTATTATTTATTGACGTAGAACAATTCTTCTCCAACATTCTTCAGAAAAAAACAAAACCTTGAAAAAGGCCTCGTGAGAACCTGTTCTTCTGTTCTGCACGTTCTTCTTCCAGCTGCTGATTCAGTTCTGGTTCTGGTTTTCACTGGTTTAACCCTAGACACACACACACACACACACTGCTACTAACCAGGTTCAACTAACCAGGTCATAGGTCACACGTCACAGCTACTACTAGTCTCACTGCTGACCCGGTGTCTCATTCTGAACAGACTGGACGTGTCCACGAAGGGACTGGTCACGTCCTCGTCATCGGACACGTAGATGTGGTCCCAGGCGCTGTAGTCGATGGTACTCATCCTCACTCATCCTCTGGACCGCTCCCGACCCTCCTCTGGACCGCTCCAGAACCTCCTGTGGACCGCTCCAGAACCTCCTCTGGACCGCTCCAGAACCTCCTCTGGACCGCTCCAGAACCTCCTCTGGACCGCTCCAGAACCTCCTGTGGACCGCTCCAGAACCTCCTGTGGACCGCTCCAGAACCTCCTGTGGACCGCTCCAGAACCTTCTCCGTCCGCCGCTCCAGGACCAGACGACAGACTGGAGTCAGATAATCCCGTTAGCCAAGGAGGCGTCACCGTCAGAAACATGGTATTTAAAGGGCTAGTTCAGAAAGTTCTATCATGTCACGCATGACACGCTTGGCTAGCAGTGGTTCACAAGGTACGGGGCACGGACCAACGGTGGGTCTTCTGCTTCCTCTAGTCCAGGGGTTGGGAACCTATGGCTCGAGACCCAGATGTGGCTCTTTTTGATGACTGATTTTTTTTTTAACACAATAAGTAATAAATAATCCTGCTGATATTGAAGTAAAACATTACAGAAATCATGGAGTTAAAATAATATTTAACAAAAACATTCTGTGTTGTGTTGTGTTAAATAATTGTAAAAAAGTCAAATCATCATCGATATAAAAACAGAGTGAAGTGTCTGGACTGCATCTGGTTGTTTGGCTTCACTTTTTAAAATCAACGCTCTAAAACAAATGGTGATGTCATGCTGTCGAGGTCCAATGACCCAGCTGTTTTTTTTTAAATCTAAAAATGTATCTGCTCTATATCAGCAGACGATGTCATCCAAATTGATTTAGAAGAGGAAGTGCACGGGGAGTGAAACATTTTTGGGATTTTTTGTAGCTCTCCCCTGAACTTCCTCCACTTGAATCAGCCCCGGAGCCTTTGGGAGTTCTGCTCCAGGTTCAGTCGACGAGGGGAAGTATCAAAAACAGGAAAGCAGCTCACAGCCTGCACTTTCATTTGACTGAAGCGTATTCACTACCAGAGGTTCCTGTTGATGAGGTTCAGTTTTTGCCGGATTATGCTAAAGGGGGGGGGGGGGGGGGGGGGGGGGGGGGGGGGGGGGGGGTGAGATCATCTATTTTTATTTAATACACTACAGCTCTGAAGTTTTAAAGAAAAAAAAACGAATTTTCTTTTTGTTTTAAACAAATTTATTCACACCACACGTCAAGACGAGCAAAGTGAAGATTATAACATTGTTACACACTCGACTTTTTTTTTTCACTCACAATGAGCTAAATCTTCATTCCCTTCACAGTGACGCTACTAAAGTGAAATAATCATGATAACTTACAAAGACGATGCTCCAGCAAATCATACGTCATCTTTTTATAAAGTTGTAGCTTAGCTGATTCACACACATGAAAATTAAAACGTGTAAAAAAGTTTTCTTTATCAACAGTATATAATCTATATGACCTCTGCACAAAACCTCATCACGTACGTGACATAGAACTGCAGTTTTTACAGAACATAAACCTCGTCAAGTAAAAGTAATCAACGTCATCATTTCAGATGGGTCTCAGGAAGTACACGCTGGCCGCGACACCGCCACCAGTTTGTGTTTTCTTTTTCTGTTAGTCGTTGCACTACAACAGTGGAGCCAGTAGGTGTCAGTCATGCAGACAAATAGCCAGTAATCGAGGACTAGTTTCCAAAGTTAAATATATGTATTTTTTATGTTCTAATAGAAAATCTAATTTACAGAATTAATACAAATAAAACTGTTGAACTCACCAAACACCAAATCCAGTTTAAACCTTGTGCACAGCACCTCCTGCAGGGCAGGGAGGGCTTTTTTAATGGATAAGTCAGAATTCTACTTTTCTTCATCTATAGGAGAGTGCAGTTTTACACAAAGATAGTGTGTCCTTCAAAATAAAAAAATTAATTTGAGATATAGTCTCTCAGAGTGCTGATATACAATTATCATCACATTTGCACAACTTCTCATTTCATTGGTTCCAGCATGAAAGTGAATATTAAGTGTTTAAAACATACGTGGTCTTTGAAACCATCAGCCTGTCTACATCAACTGACCTTTGCATTTGTTTACTCTGATTGGCCACAAATGCCTTTCATCGACCCAGTACGACAGGTTTCAGAGTCTGAAAATACTTCTGTGGATACTGTGTTTTTACTTAACCTTTTGCCCCAACATAATACTTTGTATTTCTGACAATGATTTAATATTTTACAGGAAGTAACAACAATTGAGTCTGTGCTCATCAGGTGATCAGAAACAGGAAACAGTTTCTATGAACACTTGGTCACATGGTCTCTATGAAAACATTTACTTGAATTTTTGGATTCAGGCCCTTGGTTTGTGACAGTGAAGCTTCAGTTCAGTGGAACGTGAGTAACAGTAAGACCATGTGAAGCAGCGTCGGTTCGACCAGACTTTGGCTTCAATCTATAAATACTACATGTGTGTTTTAGTTTGTGGTCTGGTTTAAAATGCTGATGAGTGTCGCTGGAGAAGTTTAGAACTGTTCTGGAGGTAAACAAGAGTTTTTGATATCACATACAGCTTTCCCAGAATGTTCCTGCACTTCCCACGTCATTATTATGCAGTTTTGGGTGAAGCAGGAACAGGACTATGTGAGCTTTGGAAATAAGGTCTGGATGGGCTGTACTCTCCATGTCGTTTCTGTTTGTAGAAATAAATGCCTACTGCAACTGCCACGATCAACATCACGATCAGAACCACAGCGATTACTATAACTAAGTAAGGCTTGGGTTTCTCTGTGTGGAAAAAATAGGAAAAAAAGGAACAGAAATTATTAACTAGACAAAGTTCTAAAAACAAGAGAGAAGTAAGTCACAATGAACTTCCTTCCCTTTACTCACAAAACAGTAAAGCAGTGATGTGGGTTTTTCCACGTAACTTCAGGAACCATAACCTTAAATGCGTCACATGATAAATTCTCTAATTTAACTTTTAAGCCTAGGTGAAGTAATAATAATTTGTTTTTAAACTCACCTTTGACTTTCACCATGAAATCCACGGTCAGCGTTCCCAAATCATTGGTTACAGAACATGTGTAGAGCCCACTGTGTTCAGGAGCTGCAGCTGTGATGTTGATTATGCTGCTATCGGGCGCCTGAACACTGTCAGGCAAAAGCACCCACTGGTACGAGGGTTGGGGGTTCCCCTCAGCTGTGCAGTCCAGGTGCAGAGGCCGTCCCTCTTCGACGATGACGTCATCTGTAGGTGGCGACCCCCGACGCTGAGGCCGATCTGTGCATCGATCAAGGAGAGAAGGTTTTTCATATATTATTACTAGGGCTGTCGGTCATCATCGTGTTTACTGTGGTATTGTCCTTCTTTTGTACTCACAGTGGACAATGGCTGTCACGTTCTGTGACATCATCACTGGGGGGGGCTGTGGACCCTCAGGTCCCAAAACCATCTCCACTTTACACCAGTACTGCGCCCCATCGTTCTCTTTTTGTGCAGAGATTTGGAGACTGTAAGTCTCATTCACTGGCCGCAGCGCCGGCGAGTCCTTCACCTGCGTCTCATTCAACTGTTTACTCCCTTCGTAGAAGGTCACATGAGCCTTCTTCAGAGGAGCAACGTTTTGCACCTCACACTGCAGGGTGTACACACGAGCCTCCAACATTGGCCCAGTGTGATTCACGATGCTAAGGGACACGCCGTCTGGAGGTTCTGGAGCAGGAAATTAAAGTCATGTTCAGAGAAGGATGCACACAAAGAAGCCAAGTGACAACAAGAGATAGAGAACCTTTCTACAACCTTTCTATGAAGTACTGACACAGGAATGACTGACATTTTAACCACTGGATCCAGGAGCTGTAGATGCTCTGCTTCATAAATATTTACAGTAGCAGCAACTTAACAACCGACAATGGAATGTTTCAAATGTTTACATACTGGTGCTGTAGCGATGGTGTTGCACCTTGATACAGAGCAGGGATGTAACAGTGCGTCGTGAATCGATCAAAAATCGAAACAAATTCATAACGATTCGCATTGGTTGAAATAAAAAAAAGAATTGCTCATCAAGGTTATAAGGAGTGGGCCGCTCTATCTCAAAAAAGGTCAAAAAAGGGTCATACCATGACACTATACACTCTAGGTCAGTAGGTGGCGGTATGTGGCGGTATGTACCTGAACACTTGAATGTCCCGTGTGACATTCAAGTGTTCAAACAGAACATGGGAAGAACTTGTTCCACAGACACAATCAGTGTTTTACAGAGTTTCTGTTTCAATATGTCTGCAGCTCATTTTGTTTTTAAATTTTTTAAATTGCCTCTGTGTCAGTACCTCATACAGCACACCAGACAAACATCCAACCATCACCTTGAAGCAAGCTAGTGACAGGAAACGGACTTACCGTAAACCAGTATAGGCAGAACACTGCAACACTGCTTTCCTTCAGCAGAGGTGCGGTCGACGTAGAAGCACACGACCAGTGTATTCCACTCGACCATTTTATTAACAGTCCACAAAATTGCAGTCGTGTTGTGCTCTTTTTTGCCAAATGAAACTTCCAAATCAAAAATATCTCGCTGGCAAGATGGGCATAAATGGCACGTAGCAGAGGTTGGGTCAAGATGCTTCACCACCAGTTGGGACGGTGTGAAAAAAGGTGTGTGTGTACAGTTATCTGAAAATAAAATAAAAAAAATACAATTAAAACAGAATTATAAAATATATTTCTTATGTATTCTGACAGTGTTTCTTATGTATTTCTGAAAAAAAAAGTCCTTTTTGTCATAAACTGTAGTTCAGACTAAGTATCTTACTCTAGTAATGTGTATCCTGTCAAGTTAACTGTTGCTATGGTAACCTAAAAATACACTACACATAGTCAACATAATAGTCATGCTTTTATTATTTTTGATTAAACTAAACATTGAAAACTTCAATCAACAATCTCTGTCTAACAGACGTGGTTAATGGTTAATTAACTATAGTTGACTTATGATACCTGACGTTTAAATGTTACACTTTTATCAATTTATAATATTATATATTAAATTATATATTAAGAAGATATAATTCACATTTCTTCAAATAGGCGTAAATACCGATGACGTCATTGTAAATTAAACCTTTGGATGAGGACGCTTCGCGTACAATTCCACAATATTTTTTAAAAGAATATTTAGGTTTCAGTGGCGCTTTGGCCCAGAGGCAATGTCTCTGTCATTGGTGTGGAACCCCAGGGTTCACCTCCTGGACAAGTTCGAATCCCGGTTAGGGCGGTTGGTACCTTCCAGTGGACTCACCACCCACGGTACGGTGCAATGTGATTTGGGTGGCGACTGCTGCCCCCGCGACCCGGTAACGGATAAGCGGATGAAAATGGATGGATGGATATTTAGGTTTCAGTTTCGCCACATGAAATCACTGTCGCCATGTCTGCTCGTGTGCCGTACAGAGCACGTAATAATAACCCAATAACACTCACCACAGCCGGACACCTCCCGCAGCAGATTCACCAGAAACAGAACCTCGAAGACGGTGGTAGATCTCATTGTTAAAACGGGAGGCGGAATGTAGTCCGCCAGAGAGAAAACCGGACTATAACAGCACACGATGGGCAAGAACCAAGTGAAAGTAAACCCCCCCAAAAATGCCCTTTCTCTCTCTCTCTCTCTCTCTCTCTGTGTGTGTGTGTGGGTGTCTTTCTCTGTCTGTCTGTCTGTCTCTCTCTCTCTCTCTCTCTCTGTGGGTGTCTGTCTCTGCCTGTCTCTGTCTCTCTCTCTCTCTCCCCCGCTCTTTGTCACAAACGGAAGTTGTCCTTAAATACAGAAACGTATCAATGAGGAAGCGTTTGTATCGTTCACGTTGCTGCCGCGGAAATTTGGCGGTCACCAAGTTGTTGTTTTTTCTCACCCGCCCCACTAGTGTTCTGACGACACTGGTGGGGGGGGCGGGGGGGGGGATTTTGCTTTTGCTTTTCTTTTGCTCTTATATTGGTAAATTTTGGTATTTTTAAAGAAAGAAAAATCATCTAAATCCAGGCCAAAACATGTTTCAAAGTTTCACTTTTGTCTGTCTGCTCTAAACCCGTCCCGCCTTTTGAGAAAATTCGGTCTCAGGAGATTTCCCGTGTGTTTACGGGAAAACAGAGGGCTAACGTGAAAGATTTGTCGGACTCTGACCTGTCGTTCAAACAGGAAGCGTCACACTTCAGAAACAAAAACACATCTGCTTCCACCGTCGTTGTTTAACCTGTGGAGCATCTATTTTAGAAGCATGTTTTACTGGTGTTCAGCAACTAATCAGTGAGAGCTCCTCACACTGTCGTCATTTGTCATGGTAATTGCTTACGTCATGTGTGTAAACGTTTGCATTTATTTGAATAATATATTGAATAAAACAACCACATGGCAGTTATATGATAATTATTATAATTATCATTATATACCTGTATGAATCTGATCTTTAATCATGTAATTTAAAGGCATCACGTTTATTCAGTGGCGTTTATTAAAAGAGATTTATTATTATATTATTAAGACAAATCTCATTTGTGATCTTTTTATAGCACACATGGATTTCCTTAAACTAACACTTTTATACACTTTTTAAAAACACTTTATATATATTATATATACCTATGTATATGTGTATAACTAGAGAGAGAGAGAGAATCAATCACATGTTTGGTTGAATAATAACTCAGTTAAAACAACATGGAAATCCCCTTTTTTGCAAGAGTGAAATGAATGTAAATGATGTCAAGAAGACAAGAACTTTTTTTTTCACTTTGGTCGTCATTCGTGACGTCATACTTCCCCTTCCACTTCCTTCCCGAGACTCTGTTTACCAATATTAAATAGAAATTGCTAAAGACTACAGTGCAGGCGGTGCTTGACAATTTGATTCAAGCAACAATTGACACATTATAGTTGTAACTAAACACATGTTGAATATCACCATGCATAAATCAAACATTTCTGACGTTTTCACCAAGTCGGCGTGATCTTCGCAATCAACAGCTAATAAAGTTAGCATTGTGCCGAGTAACCCATCGTCCCGGGCACATTATTATGTAATCTTTTCTTTGTTTTTCTATCTATATATCTATCTATCTATGTATCAATCTATCGTTCGATCTATTGATGTTTGTCTACTTTCCTACTTCTATGTAGTTCATGGTAAAAACAACATTTCTCTGTTTCATCGACTCCTCATTGACTTCAGAGTGACTGAAGTATCTCTTCCTCTTTTTTCCCCGTCATCTTTCCCATGAATGATGAATCATGTTTTTCCCCTCTTTCTGTGTCACATGGTAAGACAAGAAAAAAAATCTGCATCATCAAACCATTTCATTCCACTGTAACCAGAGTATATTGCAACATATTTAAAACCTGTCACATATCTGACATTTCCAAATCGCTGACCAACTTCTGACCAACCAAATTAATTCAAGTCAACAGGTTGTAAATGTTATATTTATAGCAAAAATACCTTAAGGTTAAAAATATGCCTCAGTAACTGTATATCAACTTTTCACCAGGGTTTTAAAGCATAACGAGGACAATGAGTTCTGATTACACTTATAGAAAATACAAATTTAAAACCATTTAAAGACCAAATGCCATGAGGAGGAACCTTTATGATTCTTCTGATTCAAATAGGATTTTAACGGTTTATGATTGACTGGTATTTAACTAATTAAAATACATTTTTTAGTAGTTACAACATTGGGGAAAGTACACGTTTAATAGAAAACAGAAAGTGAAAAATGTATGCGTTTTTTTTTCCATGTGCTCCTTGATGTGAATTAACTCAGTGTCACACACAAACTGCTGGCTGATGTTTGTCTGCTCAGAGGAGCAGATGGTGGCAGCGGAGACACCCTGACGTCACACACATTATCATCAATCACATGCTTTTACATACACACACACACACAGATTTGAAAATCAAACAATCAGGTTACCAGCTAAAATAAACAACTTTTCTTTCAACAATGTTTTAAAAACAGGAACTAGTGAAATGTACCAAAAAAATGCTTTAATTTCTTGTTTTGTGTAACTATATTATTATTAATACTATTATTAGTAGTTATTATTACTATGATTAGTATTATTACATTTTCATTTCGCATCTTCTTTTTTTTATTTTGAAATAAAAACATTTTGAAATCCCCTTTTCTCTTCCTTCCCTTTATTATTTCTGGGAAACTAAAAATAATATATTTGCAAAAGAAGAAAAAAAAAAGCATCTCATTACAGATATGTTTCAACTACAGACAGATCTGGACTGCAGGCAGACCAGTCAACTTTTCCAAGGTGTGTAAAGAACCAAAACACACTTTTTTTTCTTTTCTTTTAAAATTTAACTAAGCTACCACATCTTTGAAACTGCACCAACTTTTGTGATTTAATAAAGTCATCGTTTCATTCTACGCCGCAGTTGAAAGACATTTAAAAAGTTAATATTGACTACGAGTTGTGTTTGGAGTCTTCTCCATCCGGCGCTGGTTGTGTTTTGTTACAACATGGAGCTAATGATGTTCATACGTCCTGTTGAACAAGACCAGACTGAGTTGAGAAACTCCTAACCTCAGGTCACAGACCCTTTCTCTCAGCACTTAACAGCTGATGTGTTTGGGCGCTAATGATTATAAACCTCTCATCGCCAATGATTGACCACCGCGTCTGCATCAGCATGGACTCTGATCTAAATGGGCATCTGCTCTACACCCCCCCACCCCCCCACACACACACACACTCTCCATTATCTCTTAGTGTGTGTGTGTCTCAGCAGTGCAGGTGTCACATTAAGTTGATGTGTTTAATCATCAGTTAATCTTAAGAGGGACTGCCTTCTTCACACACACACACACACACAGATGGGACACTGAGGGTCAGGATTCTGGTCCCAGGTGGGTCATTTGATGATTTCGCCCCAGTAGGAGATGCTGCGACGTGGAGTTGCACCTGTGTTCGTTGTAGAAACGTTTTTGTCTCTGTTTTTTTCTCTCTGCCTCTGCTGAGACTCTGGTAGACCAGTACACGTCGTTGTATGATTGTTATATATATGGGAGGCGTCCATCTGTGTCTTTGCTGCATTTTTACCTACGGTGTGATTTCGTGGTGAAACCTGAGGATGTCGAATGACACCATCAACTTCTACGCACTGTCTCAGTCCTTCAGCTTCTCTGATATTATCGTCATAGCAACTTACTTCCTGCTTAACCTGGCTGTGGGCATCTGGGTAAGAGTGAGACATGTATCTGTGTGTGTGTGTGTGTGTGTGTGTGTGTGTGTTTACTAACACTTTTCTCTTGTCAGTCATCATGCAGGGTCAGCAGAAACACTCTGAGTGGATATTTCCTGGCCGGTCGAGACATGGCCTGGTGGCCGGTGAGTGAATTACTTGTTCCAATCTTTGGATGATAATATATTTATTAGTTTAGTAGTTATGATACTGCACGGTATATATTTCATATCATATATTTTTATTTTTACACATTGCCTTTATTAATATTTTTTCTTATTCATCTACTTCTCTGCCTCATTTGTTAGATGATATTCTGTGTGAACAGCAGAGTACAGGAAAATGTGTTTAATTACTGCACATGTGACAATAAACACTTATACACTAAAAATAACTCACAAAATAACAAAAACAGATTTATAGTGTTTCTAATTTCACATTTTTTATACTTAACTTTATTAACATTCTCATAAATCGCATAATTATGGAAGAGAGACTTTATTCACTGATGTGCCTCAACATCTGGACTATTTTTATGCACTGAAAATCACTATATTTATTTTAATGTAACTGACGTGATGTTGGCGGGAAAAACGGTTTTACAGTTTTAAAGTCAAACATAAATTACTTAAACTTTTTTTTGTTACTTTACATATTGATTAAAAATATCCCAAACACTAAAAACTGATTTAAACTGGTAAAATTAACAGTTAAACCTTAACACACACATGTCATTTTGATTCCTTTACTCAAAGTTGTGTATGTTTTGTTTCCATCACCGGTTGTTCAGATCGGAGCTTCTCTGTTCGCCAGCTCAGAAGGTTCAGGTCTGTTCATTGGTCTGGCTGGAACCGGAGCTGCTGGAGGAATCGCTGTCACTGGGTTTGAGTGGAATGTAAGTAAAATAAATTTAAATAAAAAACAGCATACAAGTGTTCATTTTCACATGTTTTAGTATTTATTTTGTAAGCATAGGAAGTTGTTTGTTTAAATAAATGTTGCTAGCTAACTCGTAGCTAAGCTCGAGCTAGCTGTCGTAGCAGGGTTGATATTTGACCAATGTTGTTTACTTTGGCTAGTTTATTGAAAAATGTCATTGCTCTCAACTAACGTTTGCCTGGTCAATGTTTACATTCGCTTAATTTTGAGAAAATGTTTTAGGAATATTTTTAACCATTTTATTTATTTCCGGTTTACATTTGTTGCTAACTTTAGCCCGACACTGACACTGAGGCAATTATAGGGTACGCTATTATGTTCGAGGGGCAAATTGCTAAAGTGAGGATTCCGGTCAAATCCACCGGATGTAAAGTTTAAATAGTTGCTGTAATAGAAAGTGAGCAGCAGAGGGCAGTAGGACAACATTGTTCGGTCAGTGCAGCAGAGAAGGCGAGACGAATTGAGATAAATAGTTTTCTTGAAGTGAATCAAACCAGTTGATCGGTTTCTCCTGTAGACAGACGTCTAACGCACCTGTGTCCAATGTCTCTTGTCCTTCTGTCTGATCACAGGCCACGTACGTGCTGCTGGCCCTGGCCTGGGTCTTTGTACCCGTCTACATCTCCTCAGGGGTGAGACACATGGACACACAAACTCGGTTGCATGTCTGTTAAGGCTGGTTCAGTAAAAAAAGGTCGAGCCAAGAATCATCCTGTGTGAAATGATCTGCCGAGAGAGTTCCCCGACCGGCCGCCTCTCCCACACAGACCGTGTCAGTCACTGATGTGGTTTTATATTAAATGTAACGTGCTGAGAGTGTGACGTCTGAATATTTGAAACATCTCCACCACAGTTATATCCTGCTCACGGCTCAGTCACAACAACCCTGGGATGTTTGGCCTTTGTCTGTGATTCATACAACGACAAAACTTTTTTTCACATATATATG